CTTCTGTAGTATCTGCCTTGACTCCTGAACTCATTCAGAAGCTTGTCGCTTTGGTGGACTCACCTTCCTCCTCTGACAATAATTCCCTCTCTGGTAAGATTTCACATTCTTCCTCTTGGCTCGTGGATAGTGGTGCTTCTCAGCACATGACTGGCCTTCTACATCTGCTTACTGATATTCATTCAATCCGACCAACATCTATTGGGTTACCCAATGGCACTCAGCTCGTTTCAATTCAGGCTGGCAGCGTGCAATTGTCCTTCGCTTTGAGTTTGCATAACGTTTTATACGTTCCAAATCTACAGTGCAATCTTATTTCCGTTGTTCAGTTGATCACTGATATGAAATGTTTGGTTTCTTTCACTGACTCTGGTTGCTTTATACAAGACCCCATAATGAGGATCACGACTGGTCTGGGTAAACAACAGGCAGGTGTTTATGTGCACGAAGCCAGTTCCCGATCCATTGCATATGCAGCTTGCAAATATAATTCTCTCCAACTCTGGCATCGTCGTTCGGGTCATCCATCCTTCCAATATTTGAAGTTCCTTCCTTCTCTAGTAGCTAATAAGTCTAAAGATGATTTGCATTCAGTTTGTGATGTTTGCCTTCGTGCACAGAAACCTCGATCTGTATTTCCTATAAGTAATTATAAAACATCTTCTTGCTTTGTTGTTATTCACTGTGATGTTTGGGGGCCTTTCGTTAACAGGTGCTCGTTATTTTTTAACAATCGTCGATGACTTTAGCCGTAATGTATGGGTTTACCTCTTGAAAACCAAGTCTGAAACCTTCACTTTCATGACTCAATTTATTAAACTGGTGCAAAATCAATTTAACACCATGGTGAAAGTTGTTCGTTCAGATAATGGAACCGAGTTCTGTGATAAACGTCTCCAATCTTTGTATTCTGACTTGGGCATTGTCCACCAAACCTCCTGTGTTGACACACCTCAACAGAATGGGCGCGTTGAACGCAAACACCGTCATATACTCAACGTTGCAAGAGCCTTAAGATTTCAAGCAAACCTCCCACTCGAATTCTGGGGCGAATGTGTTCTCACTGCAGTACACCTGATCAACAGAACTCCTACTCCTTTACTTGAAGGCAAAACTCCTTTTGAAAAATTGTTTAATCGAGTTCCAAGTTATGATCATATTCTCACATTTGGGTGTCTAGCTCATGCTCATCCTCGGCCCCGTACTCAAGATAAATTTGCTCCACGTTCTGTTAGATGTATTTTTCTTGGCTATCCCTTTGGCAAGAAAGGTTGGAGACTTTACAACATCGAAACACAGTCTGTTTTTGTTTCACGAGATGTTATTTTTCAGAGGATGTTTTTCCTTCCTGCGAATCATTTTCTAATTCCTCTGAAGTTCAACTCTCAAGCTCATTACCTATGGTGGATGACTCTAATGACATGGGGAGCCCTTTACTTACTGTTTATTCTAATGAGCATGCTGCGAATGAGGACACTAATACAAATGCATCTGAGGTGTCCCTTGTTGCACCACCTGATGATAATGTTGGTATGGATCCCTCCCACGAAGCTGCTGAATCTGGTTCATCATCTTGCAATGAGATTCCAGTTTCCACAAGTGCACCTCTCGGTCGTGGTCACCGTTCTAAAAGGCCTCCTGCATATCTTCAAGAATTTAAATGCACCAATGTAATTGCACATAACACCTCTGCTCCTACCCAGGCTAGTCTATCCTCAGGTACTTTATATCCCATAGCAAATTATGTTTCATGCTCTAATTTTTCTTCTACACATCAGAAGTTTCTTGCAGCAATTTCTAGCAACATTGAGCCTTGTTTTTTTAAAGACGATGTGCTTGATGAAAGATGGCGCGTAGCTATGCGTAAAGAAATAGATGCACTTGAACAAAATCAAACATGGGATCTTACTTCACTACCACCAGGCAAGAAAGCCATTCCATGCAAGTGGGTCTATAAAATTAAATACCATGCGGATGGGTCTATAGAGCGGTATAAGGCTCGCCTTGTGGTAGCTGGTAATAACCAAATAGCTGGGGAAGATTATTTTGATACTTATGTACCAGTTGCAAAGATGGTAAGCGTCCGTACTCTTATAGCCGTTGCGGTTGCCAAAGGATGGAAGTTATTTCAACTTGATGTCACTAATGCGTTCCTACACGGGGATCTTGATGAAGAGGTCTATATGCGGCTTCCTCCAGGTTTTAATCATAGCAATCCTCATCAAGTATGTCGTCTAAAGAAATCCCTTTACGGCTTGAAACAATCTCCACACAACTGGTTTGCCAAGCTTCGTACATCCATTGAATCATATGGTTTTGTGCAGTCCAAAGTTGATTACACCCTGTTTACATTGACGAGGGCTAACGCTTTTGCTGTCCTACTTATATACGTTGATGATATTGTCTTAGCTGGCAGTTCAGAGTCCATATGCACTGACATTAAAGTTTTTCTTCAGTCTTGCTTTAACATCAAGGATTTAGGCGTCCTTAAATATTTCCTTGGTTTAGAAATAGCTCATGGTTCTTCTGGTTTGTTTCTCAACCAAAGAAAATATGCTTTGGACATTTTACATGAAGCAGGTCTCTTTGATTGCAAGCCATGTGCCTTTCCCCTTGAGGCTAATCACAAATTAGCAATATCTGACAGTGAACCCTTCTCTGATCCTGCTCGCTACAGAAGATTAATTGGCCGGCTGGTTTATCTAACCATTACTCGACCAGAATTGAGTTACTCCGTTCATGTTCTATCTCAGTTTATGCAATCCCCAACCGAGGATCAATATCAGGCTGTCATCCGTCTTTTAAGATATATTAAAAGTGATCCAGGACAAGGTCTTTTGCTAAGCAAGGATAATGATCTACAGCTGCGTGCTGATGGTCCTCAAAAGTTGAGGTCCATTAAGTATATATCACTCCACAAAACCCCTGTTTTGGTCACAAATCACTCTCTTTAACCTTCTTTTTCCATGAAGAGCAATTGTCTTGAAAAGTGGACCAGAGCAACACTTGAAATGGGAATTAGAGTAGGCCTGGAGCAAATTGACATTTACTTTTTCACATATGATTATTGGGTTGATTTGTTTTGATCAGGAAACCTGAGACCTAACAGAAGGGCCCACACATTAAGGAAAAGAAGGAAGAATGTTGCGCAGGAGGGAGCATAAAAGCCTGCTACAGTACAAAAGTAGTAAAAGGAAGCAATCAGGAGCCTCCACGTCAGCCACAACAGAGAAGGTGGAGGTGTCTCCCTGATTCCGAAATTCTCACCCGAGAAAAAGCACCAAAAGCAAGGGGGACCACTGCCATGCAGAGCTGAGCTGGCAGAGAGCAGACCGGCTATTGGAGAGGATTTGAAGAAGGCACAACCCTTGATGAAAGGGACGATGAGGATCTGACAGAAGAACTCTATAAAAGGAAGAATCAACCTTCATGAGAATGAATCGGGACACCATTCGAGGGCTTGCCATTTATTTTTCCTGATATTTTTCTTTTGTAATGCTCGCTAGGAGCTAACTTCCTCTTAGTAGGTGAGGGTTCCATAGAAGTAATCCCTTTTGTCTTAGGATAACTTTGTAATGAACACATATTTTATGAATGAATTTTGAGCTGTTCTTTGGTTTAATATATTGATTCTGTGAAACCCTTTGGGCTGGCAACCTCATCCCGGGACCACTCGGTCGATGAAACACTGACAAGGGCGTGCGGAGCAGTCTCAAGATCTTGGGGTAGTTCAGCCTAAAGAAAGGAGGGAGGAACACCTTGAATGAAGAGCACTGCCATGTGAATCCAGGCTCTTTTGAGAAGGCAGCATGGTTTCCTTGCATTTAACTCTAAGTTCTACGGAGTAATGTGGAGAGTAAGGCCTTGCTCTTTTACTTACTTGTGGCAAAACGACGAAAGGAGCAGAATCCATTTTTAAAATATGCTACCAAGCAGGGTTAACCAAAGGGATGAAAATATGGAACCCGAAACACCTACTTAACTCTTTCTAAACTCAATCTCACATCAAACTTTTGTTATAACTTTCTTCACGACAACCAAATTGTGCTTATCTATTGCTGCTTTTATAATCACTTCATTAATTTCTTTTGAGTTACTTCAATTTGATGCCTTGATATTCGATGACTATGCTAAGTCATTCACTGCTCTCATCTAGTTCAGAATGGTTAACACTGTTTAACTAGCTGGCTAGAGATTGCTCCTTGTGAAGCTTGGTTGAGAATAACTACTTTCCTTTCATTTTTCTAAGAATTAAGTTTCCCTGAACGATTCCTTCTTAACAACTGCTCCCTAAGGACGATAAATCTGGGGCTAACAACACCCTGTATTGCTTGACACGTACGCTTGAGTATAGTTGAAGAGGGTTGCTCTCGGTCAGAGTAGATTGCTCCTGTTTGCAATCTCGATTATCACTCTGTATTTTTGCTCCTTAAAAATATCCCTGAGCAGCTCTCGGTTCGACCAAGCAATTGGCGCCGTTGCCGGGGATCATTTGGCAAGAAAGGGCGTCTTTAATGAAACATTGTTGTTTGTATTTTTGAAATCTTTTTTGTTTTTATTGTGTTTGACTTCTTCCTATTGTATGAGCACAGAACCTACAGAACTTGGACTGGAAATAGTACATTTTGATCCAGAACCCGAGAGAACCTTCAGAAATAGAAGAAGAGTTCAAAGGTTAAGAAATAATACAATGGAGGAAGTTCTAAATAATGGTGAAAATGGTAACAATGAAAATAATAATCATGAGAATGAAGAAGGACAGAATGGAGGAAGAGGGCCATCGTTGAATGATATGGCTGCTCCCTTCAGAAATGGTCCAGAACGAGGCTATGTTCCTCCTCCTCTGGATATCCCGAACTTTGAAATCAAACCTGCAATGTTCCAAATGATTATGAATGCTGGTCAATTCCATGGATTGCCTATGGAAGACCCACAGTCATTTGGACAACTTTACTGAGATAGTTGATAATTTCAAAGTTCATGGTATCTCAGAGGAAAATATGCGAATGAGGCTGTTTCCATTTTCCCTAGCAGGAAAAGCCAAAGAATGGAGGAGAACATTGCCCCCAAATTCCATCACTAGTTGGGAGCAACTAGCTGAACAGTTTGTCACCCGATTTTTCTCCCAAGCAAAACAAGCCCAAGTGAGGGCTGATATAGCATCTTTCCAAATGTATGATGGAGAAAGTCTTTATGAAGTGTGGGAGCACTTTAAGGAATTAATACGAATTTGCCCAAATCATGGAGTTTCTGATTGGGGCATTATTCACACGTTTTATCATGGCTTAACCCCACCCTTGAAAGCCACTGTTGATGCGGCTGCAGGGGGAGATCTTTTGGATTTTACTTATCCGGAAACCTACCGGTTGTTGGAAAAACTTTCAAAAAAACATGTTCAATGGCCTTCCACACGGAACAATGCTTCCAAGAAAGCAGGAGTTCTTGAGCTAAGCTCAACTGATGCTCTTTCAGCACAGATGGCTTCGCTCCAGAATACTATAAAAAATTGGAAGCCCATGGAACAGAAAAAACCAACCGAGCAACTTCTCTTGACTCAATCAAGTCAAAGTTGCTCCATTTGTGGAGGTCCTCATGAATATGAGGACTGTAACAATTTGGCTGCTGTGTGTTATGCAGGTGGTTAGATAATAACAACAGGAGCAATGATAATTATCAAGGGAACAACAACCGAGGATGGAAGAGTCAGAATAATGCTGGAGGTAGTGGAGGAAGCTACCAGAACCGACCCCCATATCCCAGGCAGAACCATCAAAACTGGGATAAGGGTGAAGGGAAGTCCCAATCCTTTGAGACTTTTGTCAAGGAATACATGAATCAAAACAGTGCAGCCATGAGGAGCCTGGAGACCCAAATTGGTCAGTTGGCTGGAGCACTCAAACAGAGACAACCAGGGACACTCCCTAGTGACACAGAAAAACCGTCCCAGGAAAACCAGGAGCGTTGTAATGCTATAAGCTTACGAGATGGAAAAACTCTGCCACCTCCAGATTTAGTGGCACGATCTCGTAAACGCGAACTAGCAAGACAACCTATGGAAGAAGGAGTTGAGGAAGCTACTGACCCTCAACCCCTTGAAGCTCAGACAGAATCAAGGGAGAAGGTCCAGAACGATGATCTCACTGAAGTCACACCAGTTGCCACAACATCTGGAGCAGATGTTGGAGCAATGAAAGACAATGAACCAGTTTCAGTCCCAACTTATGTTCCACCATGCAAAAGGAGGAGTGAACCAATTGAGCCTCCTTTTCCACAGAGGTTAAAAAAACAACATGAAGATAGGCAGTTTAGCAAGTTTTTAGACTTGTTGAAACAACTTCACATAAATGTCCCTCTGGTGGAGGCTCTGGAACAAATGCCTTCGTATGCAAAATTTATGAAGGACGTTTTGTCAAAAAAAAGAAGGATTGAGGAATTTGAGACTGTAGCCCTCACTGAAGAATCATGCAAATACCTGACTAAGATTCCTCCCAAACTGAAGGACCCTGGAATATTACCACCATCCCGTGTACAGTTGGGAAGAACTACCTTGGTCGAGCACTTTGTGATCTGGGCTCGAGTGTAAATTTAATGCCAGCTTCTATCTTCAAACAGCTTGACATAGGAGCAGCAAGACCAACCACAGTCACTCTTCAGCTTGCAGACCGATCCATAGCCAAGCCAGAAGGAAAAATCGAGAATGTCCTTGTCCAAGTAGACAAGTTCATTCTACCAGCTGACTTCATCATCTTGGATTTTGAAGCAGACCAAGAAGTTCCAATAATTCTGGGCAGACCATTCCTGGCCACTGGTGATGCTGTCATAAACGTCAGAAAAGGCAAACTATCCATGAGTGTAAATGGAGAGGAGGTGAAGTTCAATGTCATGAAAGCAATGAAGTTTGATGTAGATAGCACTGAGGAATGCTCTAGCATTTCAACTCTTGACTTGATCATAAGAGAAGAACAGCAGGAGCAGTTGCAGTCAGAAATAGGCATGAAGGACTTTGACGAATTGGAGGAATACCTTGCGTCCATTAATTCCATTCATACTGGGGACAAGAAAGAAAGGATCTTCGAATCCTTGAACCGATCGGAGCAAGAGCAAAGACCAAATTTGCCCTCAGTAGAGCGACCGCCTACCTTGGAGTTAAAGCCTTTACCTGAAAACCTGAAGTATATTTATTTGGGTAAAGAAAACACTATCTCTGTGATTATTTCTTCTTTACTAACCCATGAACAGGAACTTCAGCTCACACAGAAGCTTAAGGACTACAGAGGAGCAATCGGTTGGACCATGGCTGATATAAAGGGAATTAGCCCAACAATCTGCATGCATAAAATTTTGCTCCAAGATCCTGACAGCTCATCTGTGGAGCATCAAAGGAGGCTGAACCCCAATATGAAAGAGGTGGTAAGAAAGGAAATCATCAAATGGCTTGATGCAGGTATAATCTATCCTATCTCTGACAGCAAATGGGTTGCCCCTGTGCAATGTGTTCCCTGTAGTTGAAAATGAAAAACATGAATTAATAGCCACCAAAAGGATAACTGGGTGGAGGATTTGTCAAGACTATAGAAAGTTGAATAATGCGACCCGTAAGGATCATTTTCCCCTCCCTTTTATTGACCAAATGCTGGATCATCTGGCTGGAAAAGAATTCTTTTGTTTCTTGGATGGGTATTCTGGATACAACCAAATCTCGGTTGCTCCTGAAGACCAACACAAAACCACTTTTACATGTCCATTTGGGACTTTTGCATTCAGAAGAATGCCATTTGGGCTGTGTAATGCCCCTGCAACAGATTGCAAAGCCACTCTGTGAACTCCTGGAGCAAGATAGGAAGTTCAATTTTGATGAAAAATGCATGACAGCCTTCTTTGAACTCAAGTCAAGGCTGGTGTCCGCACCTATCATTCAAAGCCCAGATTGGAGTCTTCCTTTCGAATTGATGTGTGACGCCAGCGATATCGGCTTGGGAGCAGTACTTGGGCAACAAAAAGACAAAATCTTCAGAACTGTGTACTACGCCAGTAGAACTCTTACTCCGGTGCAGGTCAACTACACAGTGACGGAGAAGGAGATGTTGTCAGTTGTGTTTGCATGCGACAAGTTTCGGTCATATCTGATATGCTCCAAAGTTACAGTATTCACTGATCATTCA